CTTCTCTAGAACTAAAAAGGCCCTATTAAAATTACGTTCTAAAATACGCAAATAACTAATTCCAAAATCATTACATATACTATGACTACTTTGATTGGGCTTCTAGGAAATGTAAGAGAACTGTATTAGAGGAAAATCATTTATGTTTTCCTCAGATTATAAAAATCATTGTATCATATTGGGAACACATCTCCCTGGATATTCCTAGGGACACAGACTAAAATAAAAAAACAAAACACATAACAACACTGGTCTCAGTAGATATGAAATGGGATGCTGCTACCAAGAAAGAGTAAATATTTACACATCTGTTTTGTTTCTCGAGTTTAGGGAGTTAAAGTTTTCCCTTGATGAACTGATTCAAGACAGATTTCAGGGAGATAACAGAATTGCTACCTTGCAGGAAGCAGCAGGCACAAATTTAAATGGAATAAAATTTTGATTCAGGAATTAGTAAGTAGTGTTGTAACCCTAAACAAAAGGACAGACAAATTAAAAAATGACAACTAATGTAGGTAAATCTACAGATAGAAGCTATAAGGCAGAAGAAAACATTTGATACTATTTATCTGAAATAATTTTAAGCTCCTCTCCTATAGTCCAGCTAGACAGAAGTAGAACATAGTCCATGGCTTTTGCTTTTGAGACAGGATCTCTCAACATAGCCCAAGCTGACCTCAAACTGCAATCCTACCTCAACAGCCCAAGTGCTGGAATTACAGGTGCACATCACCACACCTAGCTTCAATTCATTTTTAAAAGATATTACTCTACTCCTTCCCAAATTATAGATTGTTTGTTAAGTAAGCTATCTACACACTATACCAATTTATTTCCTATAACCCTAGGTTTCTGAGCCCCAAGCAGTCTTGGCTAGTTTATAACTGACCACTGTTTATTTTCTATTACTTTAAGGAGAGTGCTTCAAGAATTACAGACCAAACTCCCCTCTGTAAAAAGCAATCACTTATTAAACTGAATTGACTATTCTTACTATTGATCCCAGGAAAACAAATGGGTCCTATTATTAATAGATTCTAAAATCTAAATCACTGAAATATTTTTATGATCTAAAAAAATAATCTTTTTTAGAAAATACTTTTTTTAAAAAAAGATACTCTCTGTGCCTTTATCAGGAATAATAATTTTATGCTTAAATAATAATAATTTACACACCTGTAAATCCCAGTAATCAAGAGGCTGAGGCAAGAGGATCGCAGCAAGTTCAAAGCCAGCCTGAGCTACATATTGAGTTCAAGGCCAGTGTGAACTATGTAGCAAGATGTTGTCTCCAAAAACAAACACAAAAAGTGTATTTATTGTGTATGTTTAATAATAATAATGTTGGAGCAAGATGTGGTGGCACACACCTATAATCCCAACAGTCTTGAGAGGCTGAGGCAAGAGTATCACAAGTTTGAATCCAGCTTGGACAATTTAGCAAGATCCTATCTTAAAAAATAAAAGAAGGCTGTAGATGTAGCTCAGTGTGAAGGCCCTTCCCCTAACCGCCCCCCCACAAAAAAGAAGATGAAGAAGAATTTGGCGATTTCAATCAATGCATTTATTTGTGCCTTCAACCAGATGCAGATCTATTTTTTAAGAAGGATCCTAGGTCTGAGTCATGAATCAGAGTAAGTTTCTTGGCCCACCTGTATGCTGAAGTGAGTTGTCTATTTCACAAACCTATTTGTGTTCCTTTATTTAGACTCCTTTATTTTTTTAACCTCATTCCCTCTACTCAATTGATTTTTCAAAGCACATAGATTCCATCCTTAACTGGTAATATAGAATATTTACATTCCAAGGCAAATAGGACACTAATTCTTCAGTGTACAGAAACTATGAGTTCTAGAAAAACACACTGACGGGCAACTTAAGTAATAAGATATGTATATTCATATTCCAGTACAACTTTTTAAAAATACTTTTATTATCTAAACATCAGTACAGTTATTTTTTTATACTTTAATTATTATTATATGCAGAAGAATCTCAAAAGAAATCAATATAAAAAAGTATGATGAATATCACTGGGCATGGTGTTACAGGCCTATACAGGCCTGGTGTTACAGGAGGCTGAGGCAGAAGGATAGCTGCAAGTTCAAGGCCACCCTGGGCTACATAGTGTGTTCAAGGCCAGCTTGAACTACATAGCAAGATCCTGTCTCCAAAAAGAACATCAAATAAGGTGTGATGTATATAATGATAACAATAATAAGGTAGTAGTGATTGGTCTAATTCCCAAGGGATATTAAATAATGAAGAAGATCACAAATTTAAACTAAGAAACTTTTTTTTCCAAGAACCCAACCCTATAACTGGCAGCTCAACTTTGATGCATCAGCTGAGTCCTCCTCTTATAAAACCAGGAGATGAAATAAATTTCAGACTTTTTTCCACAAATAGTTTATTCATGCTACCTCCAGGAACCCCTTTTGGAGCATACATGTTACCCTATGTAAACCAAAAACCTCTTCCCTCTCTGCTTACATCTGACAGACACTCTAACCCACCATGGCCCAAGTATGTTGGTTAGCATCACACCTGATGACTGTGAGCTAGATTCCTGAGATACACAATTCCATTTGTTCTCCAGAAACTGAAATGCTAAGTGTTCCTAAGTAAGTCTTTTTTCAATCTCTGATTCCTTTCTTGGAGTGGACAGGATGTGGAGCCTCATTCATGCTAAGCATATGCTCCTACCACTATGCTAAATTACATCCCTAGCCCTGAATCTCTGATATTTTTGGTTTACAGATCATATGTTGAAGTTGGTCCCTCCCCATAATCCTTTGAGAATTACATAATGCTAAGAAATCTCAAGAGTATATATTTCTTGATAACTACGTGTTAAAGGGAGAACATGATCAATAAGGATCATCTAGAACTAAAACAAGTAGGCAGGAAAAAGATATGCTGACATCTGAAAAATTACAACAAAGCTAAGAGGTTATGCTTTCCAAGAGTGAGTGTGATTACCTTTTCAATGATTATCCAAATTCGACTACAGTGCCAAGATGTGCTATTATTTACAGTACTTAACTGATATTCTTTAATGTTTAAAGGAGAAGAAAGTATGTGTTAACAGAAGTCAAAATGCTGTAGCTTTTTAAAGATGAAGAAAAAATTCAAAGGAGATTGATTCTCTATAGCCACCTTAGCTGGATGATGTAATAGGTGCTCCACAATCCCAATGGAAAATATATACAATCCTTCCTTGATTGCAACAATTTTTTTTTGGTACTGGGGATCGAACTCAGGACCTCTCGCTTGCCAGGCAGACACTATGCCACTGAGCTAAATCCCCGGCCCATGACTGCAACAAATTGTCCCTTTAAAAGAGGGGGTTGATGGGAGAAGGGAATTGCTCAGGCATTCAGGGTTCAAGCAGGAACAGAAAATATATTGAGATGGAGGTGGCTTCTTGGTCCAGGGGTATGAGTCTCTCTTCAGGTGTCAGAAATGTGAATAGCCATTGCAAGTCAGTGAGCCAAAGATATAAACAGAATTATCCATAAATGGAAAAACTTTGTATGTATCTGAAATTGCAAACTGGACTATGATAGACATGATTCAGGTAAATTAGAATTCATGATTCAAAATCCAGTGACTTTTTAAATGGCTAATTTATAGTGAGGAAGAAAAAAGGGAGGAATTTTTAAATCTGTTTAATTTGGGGAAATTAATTCCTGCATACATTGTAAGAAGTTTACTTAGTCTGAAAAACTTCATTTTTTTTTTCCCTTTTGAGAACTTGGTTTACCTGGAGAGTACATGTCTCTGAACTACTTAAACAAACAAACAAACAAAAACGTTCTGATGTTAAGCCTTAGTAATAGATAAAATTTGTAACTCTATGGAAAATAATGTCTACTATGAATTAGTTATTATTTTAAGGAATTACATGGACCCTTGACTTACAAGTTCAATTCATTCCACAGGGCTGGTTATAAATCAAGTTGTCAATTCAAAACTCAGGCTCCTTTACACAGCCTTCAAAGTCTCTCTCCTGTATACAGCAGGTCTGTGTCCTTGGCCCAGGATTTCTCAAATAACTCCACACAGGAAAGGATGTTGTAATGTTTCTTCTATAACTCTTTAAGGATTAAATCTGTATCTGAGACCATCTGGAAGCAGAAGTGGCTGCAACTGGCATTGTGGTCTTAACTCAAGACTTTGGTTGTAAATTAAAACTAAAATTCTGGTCATAATCCAAGTCGTTCATATGTCAGGCTGGTCATAACTCAAGGGTCCACTGTAATTCCTATATTCTGTTTTACTCTATGACCCTTTCCCCATTCCTTATTCAAAAGCAAGTAAATCCTCAAAGTATTGTTAGACAAAGGACCTCTCAGGGGCCGGGGATTTAGCTCAGCGGTTCAGTGGCCTGCCTTTCAAGCGCAAGGACCTGAGTTCAATCTCTGGTACCCCCCGAAAAAGATAAAGGACCTCTTATAAATACTTTCATCTATAGAAATCAGCACTGGAGGGTGCTGAAGTTTGTCAATAGCTAGTTCTGTTTTGAGCTACAGACTACTAAGTGCTTCCTTCTTGTAATAAAATGGTAGTGTCAGACATTAAAGTAGCTACTGTAATTGCAGGGAGGGGCATGGGTACTGGGGATTGAACACAAGGCCAGAAAGCCCTTTTTGTTTTTGTTTTTGGTTTTGTTTTTAAGACAGTCTTGCTAAGTCACCAACTTGCCCAGGGTGCACTCAAACTTTTGATCCTCCTTCCTCAGTCTCCTAGAGAGCTGGGATTACAGGCATGCACCATCACATCTCTGACCATAATGCTATAAAGGCTACAATTTCATCTGCTCCACTAAAAATCTAGTCTAATTTATCCATAAATATCTTACAACTCTTTAAAGAATGTATTCCTTATTACAAAAATATACCATTAAATATCACTTTGTTTTCCTAAGTCTTAGCAAACAGATATATGATCTTTCAAATCAAAATACTATAAAGTTACTCCAAATTAAAACTGCTTACCATGATACCACCATTTTGTTTTCTTTGGATTCTTGTTACATGTTCGCACATAGAAAGAATTATCTGGTGGTCGTCTCTGAAACCAAAAGAAAACAACAACAACAACAACAAAATACTTTAAGAACAAGAGTCTAAAATAGAATAACAAAGGGGGAGATAGTTTTAAGTAAAATCACTACAGAATTAAACATATTCAACCCCAACAGCAATACTGAAAGAATAAAAACCATAAATATATTCTGGGAAATGAAAACTTTTAACACTTAAAGTGGTGGTTTTTTTTTTTAAAGGGGGTGGAGGGAGGTATGTGTGCACTCTGGATTGGGTTCTAAGGGCAACACTGGAGAATAATCATCAACTAAATGGGAAAAAACAAGATAGATGAAGCCAAAATTCTTTACAGTCTAACTCCCTCCAAGTAATTTAATAACTACTTTTGTGATCTAATTAAAACAGAAAAGTCTACCTAACTAAAAACTGTCTAAAGAACCAGACATTTATAATCCTTTACAAGGCCTAGGAGTGTAGTAGCTCAGTGGTACAAAGCTTGTCTAGTATGCACCAACACCCTGACTTCTATCCCCAGCACACTGCCAGAAGAAGAAAGAAGAAAGAAGGAAAGAAGGGAAGGGAAGAATGGAAGAAAGGAAAAAGGGAAGAAGGGAAGAAGAGGAAGAGGAAGAGGAAGAAGGGGGGAAAAGCCACATGGTGGCACATGCCATACTTCCAGGGCTCTGGGAGGTGAGAACTGCAAATTCAATCCCAGCCTAGGCAAGTTATAGCATTAATCAGAGTCTGTCTTCAAAAAAGGGGGTTGGGGGTACATCTGGGGATGTAGCTCAGTGCAAACATCCTGGGTTCAATCCCTAGTCCTGCAAAAAAGAAAAAAAGCAGACACACACCCCACATATACACTTTAATGCATCATTTAAGGACAGATCAAAAGATTCAGGTACACATACAGACACACATACTGGGGATTACACAGAGGGTTTTTGCACTGAGCTACAATTTCACCTTTTCTTTTAAACAGCATCTTGCTAAATGGCTATTCTGATCCTCCTGCCTTAGCCTGCCAGAGTGCTGATATTAAGGGGTATACCACCACCCTCAGTTTCAGTTTCTAAACAATATGTACAAAGATATATATTAGCACTGCTACCATACCTTGGCCTGTCTGCTATTTATACACCCTGATAAACACAATGTGAGAAACACAGGGCAGTTCTGTAGGGGAAATAGACCAGGAATACTGATACCAACAATACTAAAAGCAGATAATGGAAGAGGTTTTCCTAACCAGACACAAGAAATACATGACTTCCTACAAAGATGTGGTAACATGTCAAATTTATAGTAAAGCCACCGAAGGAAGATTTGTAGACCATATGACAGACAACCTCATCTGGTAGTTTCCTTTTTGTCTACTTTCAGAATTATTTAAGGGCTGGGGATTTAGCTCAGCAGTTCGGTGGCCTGCCTTGCAAGTGCTAAAAAAAAAAAAAAAAAAAAAAAAAGAAAAAGAATTATTTTAACAACTTGATTTTTCCCATTATTAAATGTTTTTGCAATATTGAGCTTAAATTAACTATGTTTAGTAAGAAAATGAAGATGAAAGATTTTTAAAATCCTTTCCTCAATGAAACTAATCAGACATAATTTAAATAAGGTTCAACCAGAAAGAAGGGTATGACTTTCTAGATAGCAGGAAGGAAAACACTCTATCCACTTGGTACTTCTAAAACTTCTAACTATGATCTTGACTAAGCTTCACAATGGCCTTAGTAATTTCATTTCAAAAAGAAAGAACATTAGGGCACAAGGTGATAAACTACAGTATATAAAGATTAATCTGTTAATACAATTTGAGAAATTTCCTGAAAATAATATGAAATTATAGGTATAACTACTTTATTTCCTCTTCACTTGGGTAATCTAGGACTCCGCACAATAAAAACAGCAAGTACCTAATATACTTTTTCTCAAAATTTATCTTATTTCAGAGATTCTGACTTCTAGATTATCATCTTTAAAATATCATACTAATTATTCTATTACAAATACAGTTTATCAATAATTTAAATGGAATGATTTTAACTAAGAAACATTAGTAGAAGACACCTAGGATGTGAGGGGAATGGAATAGTCATGGTCACGAAGGATACAAGAGGTACAGAAAACAGTCATGCTCTGGTTTGTGGTACAAAATCACTACATTTAAATGTAAGCAAAAGGTAATAACCCTAAGGCACATACAAAAGCTATGTGCAGATATCAATGGTGATCATCTCTTAATAACTTTTATTGTATTTCACGATCACTTCAACTTTCTATGAATACTAAGCGTAACAGGACTGTAGAGGCCTCATAACTGCCATAACTCATAACCTCATTAACTGCTCTCTCCTAAACACACAAGTTGCAATTGTGTGTACTGATAGTGGGCGAGAGGAAAAATATGAAGTAATAAATAAGACTTATTTCCAAAACCTTAAGAGATAACAGAATTCGGGGCTGGGGATTTAGCTCAGTGGTTCCGCTGCCTGCTGAGTTCGATCCCCAGTACCATCCCCAAAAAAGAGAGAAACAGAACTCAAAGCTTTAAAATGCAACCTTAAAAAACCCTCAGAGGGGCTGGGGATTTAGCTCAGTGGTTCTTCTGCCTGCCTTGCAAGCACAAGGACCTGAGTTCGATCCCCAATATCAAAAAAACAAAAACAAAAAACCCTCAGAAAAGAGGAGTTAAAAAGTGGTATTAATATTAAATGTATTTCACCTCATATGTATGGTTTTCTGCACATTTTCATATCCCTGAATGGGGACATGTGGCTCTTAATTAATGTGTCATGGTTTAATTACTAATTTTTTCTTTCTTTCATGTATAAAATTTACATATTAAGGGCTCATAACCCTACAATTAAAAAAATAAAATTTACTTAATTATTTCCTACTTGAACAAAGGACTCTTGTTTTATTTTTAAACTGAACAGCAAGAAATATCTTACAGGGGGCCTGGGTCCTGAGTTTGATCCCCAGTACCAAGAAAAAAACAAAAAGGTCAAAGAAATATCTTACAGGGCCAGAGGATTTAGCTCAGTGATTCCACTGCCTGCCAGCCTTGCAAGAGAACCCAAGTTCGATCCAGAGGGGAGGGGAGGGAAGGAAGGAAGGAAATCTCTTATGGACCAAACATACCAAGAAACTCGGTGAAATAATGGCTTAATGTGTTGCAGATTCCAAATAGCTTATTATTTAAAATATGAACTATTATCATAAAGGTTCTCCAAATACTAACTTAATAAACATAGCAGTCTGGTCAGCACTTTGGGAAGCTAACTAACATAGGATCAAAGGTCAAGTCCTGTCCCGGCAAATTAGCAACTTAGTGAAATCCTGTCTCCAAAAATAGGAGAGGCCATGGATGCAGCTCAGTGGTACAGTGCCTGTGGGTTCAACTCCCAGTACCACAAGTATAAACAAACAAACAGCAGTCAGGTTGAGCTGGAGCACATAGGAAAAAAAACTGCTAGTACATATGCCCACACACAGGTCTCTAAAGCAAATTTGTTTCTTCTGTGAATACAAAAGAAAGCCTCAGGAAAAAGGGAGGCTTTAAAATGTAGAAATAATATTGTAGCAATAGTCCTCAAATAGGAATACACAAAGACCAGAAAGACAGAGAATTTAAAAAGTATCCTAAATTTAACTGCAATTTTCCATTCTGGTGTTTTTTCCCACCCTCATCAGACATAGTATCTGTGGATTTGAAAAAGTAGAACAGAAGGATAAGCCCTGAAAATTCTACTTGGTAGGTGGTCTTCTTCCTTCCAAAAAATCATTCATTTAAGAAAGTTCTTATTTCTGGGGCATCCTCTAAAAAGGTGATAGGATGGTAGCTGTCAAAGAAAGTATATTGCTTGTTTCTAGGCCTTCAACTGCAAAATCTAGAAAAAAGGAATTATTTGCATGCTGATGCAAATAAAATTCAGATTATTTATAAATTAAAAAACAGTAAGTCTGATATACTATATCATTTAAATATTATATACATTTTAATAAATTTAAATAAAATAAAATATTTAAAATTTCTATTTGGAATGAAGGATAAAAATAACATTCCCATTTATTTATTAGTATATGATTGCAATACATAACAATTCCACTTGTTTGGGGGACCTGGTATAGGTACATATCACATCTTGATTACTTTTACTCTCCTTTCTCCCTCCCCCCTCTGCCTCCTTCCCAGATTCCCTTCCCATCTCCAAAAAAGTCAACTTCCCTGTTTCCTGCCATTTCTCCTTTATTTTGCTCTTTATTTATATTTGGGATTCCTCATACAAGAGAAACCATACGATATTTAACTTTCTGTGTCTGATTTATTTCACTTAGCATTCCATTTTATTCTTAATCACGACGTTCCCTATACTTTTAAAATACAAAGCACAAGTTCTTCCTTCAAATAAAAATATGTACATATTAAAATTATTAATCTCTCTAAACTGAAAGAGATATTATCCAGAATAATTCTGAAAATTCCTACCTTTTCTTTGCAGCTGGAAAGCATGCTAATAATGCTAAGACAAACTGACTGGACTGAGAGCGCTGGGGACCAGTCTTCTGTTAGAATGGATAAACAGATATGACCATTGCTATAAACATGAGGATGAACGGGAATATTTTCACCAGTAAACATGACCTAAGAAAGAATAAAATTCCATTAACACTCAAATAATCTCTACTACCAAAAACTAAGTATTTTCCACATATATAGCAAGTATTGATTAAATAAATAAAAACCAACCAAAACTAATGCCAGGAACAGATAAACAACTGCTTATTTTTTTTCTTTTCATTAACTCATTAAGTACCAGTTTCACAGTACAATTACCCATGTAGTAAAGGGGAAAAATTAGAATATTTTTATTTTATTTTTCATAAATTCCTTTTAAAATTTATAAATTGCTATGTAATTTTTCACTAATAAAATACAGGCTACATTTATATGAATGATTTTTCAAGTTCTACCCATGACTCTACAAATAAGAATCAACTAACACTATTCCATTTTGAGACAATATGAATAAAGATGGTAGGAATGCCCCCAACACCTCCAACAATGCTAGCATCTAAAGTGCATCTAAAAGAAAATGAATACTGTATATTCCATCTCCCCTAAATATTCATTATGATGGGCACAAATTACTAGGTAATAATTAGCAAATAACTCGGTCTAGATGGGTGGGGAAGGGCAAAGGTTGATTGAGTCTTCAAATTACTTTTCTGTTTTTTTCTTTCCTTTTACTCAATTTTTCTAACACTGTTTTTCCTTTTTCCATCTTGTCTCAGCACTGCTTAAATGGTTATATATCTCTTATTTCCTTTCTTTGTCCTAACAATTGTGTTTCTTCTAGAGCCTGCTAAGGAAAAGGAAATTGATACTGTTAATAACCTTGTCCTCAGACACCCACTGGTCCCTCAGGAGCATATGCGTCTCTCCCACCTGTTTCTACCAGAGGCTAGCCCCCCGGAGAGATCCAGTGTTTTCAAAAGATCCTGAAAGATTTTCAGGTAGGCCCTCACAGATTTTTCAGATAGGCCCTCAGACTCCTATGACCCAAATGCTGGACACAGCTTTTTCTGTGTTCAACAATTGGGATCTAGATGAAGAAAAAAGGAGAAGGGCTGAGAGACAAATCAAATTATGGCTATTGTAATTGGCAATGCTATAAACACACCCAAGTAGGCCAAATGAAAACCCAGGGCCAAGCAAAGCCTGCAAGAAGACTGGACACTGGGCATGTGACTGTTATCAAGCCATGATCCTGGCCCACACTCCATGTGTTAGGTGGCCAATGTGCCTGATTCATGGCAATGGAGGCTTAACTGAACCTCCTACAGAGGGGGTAGGCCAGCCAATCCCTCACTTCCCACTTTGATTAAAGACTAAATAAATGGGGGCCTGGGACAATCTGCAATATTCTTGTCCACATATGTTTTTATCTCCTATGAAAAAACACAGGTGACCTGTACACCATAGGTAAGCAAATTCAATTATTCTGTCTTAAGCCACAAAACCTTACACAGGAAATGGTCACTCAAATTTTCACACAACTAGGACTACTGGTGATTACCCAAAAGGTCTACAAAGCTTGTCCACTAACCCTGCCAACCTCAGACTAGCTCCTTTGTTAGAACAGAGAGGGCCATACCTTAGGGAGGACTGACAATAAAGACAGCTCCATCTCAACTGATAAGACCAACCAAAACAAGAAAGCTAAAGCATTAACTCCTGGAAGACCTGAGGAGCCTCTTCAAAAAGCAAGACTTCAGGGCTGGGGATTTAGCTCAGTGATTCTGCCACCTGCCTCGCAAGCGCAAGGTCCTGAGTTCGATCCCCAGTACCAAAATTAAAAATAAATAAATAAATAAAAATTTAAAAGCCAGATTTGGCCAGGCGTGGTGGTGCGCACCTGTAATCCCAGCCCTTGAGAGACTGAGACAGGAGGATCACCATCACCGTGAGTTCAAGACCAGCCTGGGCTACGCTACATAGTGAGTTCCAGGTCAGTCTCGACTACATAGTGAGACCTTGTCTCAAAAACAAAAAACAAACAAACAAAAAAGCAAGACTCCAGTACTAGAGTACAGATAGTAGAGTTACTAATGACCCCTGATTAGCCACAGTTTAAATGGGCACCTTTACTGAGACTCCATTTTTAATTAGATCCATAATGTGGGTAATCTTGCTATGAGTATGGCTCTCAGGCTCTTAGTAATTTATCTAGTATTGCTCTTTGCTATGCTTTGTCCACCACAGGAAACATGGAAATCTGACCTGCTCCTTCTAATAGTAAAGCTACTCTTCTGGCAAATTCACCAAGCTTTCTCCCATCAAACAGGCAGCTCAACAGCTCTAACTTTCTTACTGCCTTCTGACAGGTATTTTTCAACCCAAACCAGCCAGTGAGCCACAAACATCTAAGGCAGTTGGAGAGTACATAATCACTAGTAGGTAAGGGATATAGGCCCTTTCACAGGAAGTAGCCATATGAAGATGGAGTCCTCCACAACCTCAGCACCCCATAAAGATTTACATCTCTCAGGGAAATGAGGCAGGAGATTAGGGCGTGACCAGTCAGCTGGGCAAATGGGTGTGACCAGTTAAATCAGGAAGATCCAGGATAAGTGTGCAAAAGCCCTACAGGTGGAATCCATGAGAAAGTACTATCTTCAATTCCTTGCTTGAGAACTCAAGCAGGTTTTTTGTTGTTCTTGTTTTTGTTTTGTTTTGTTTTGTTACTGGGGATCGAACTCGGGTCCTTGCGCTTTCGAGGCAGATGGCAGAACCACTGAGCTAAATCCCCCACCTTCAAGCAGGTTTTTGAAAGGCTGGCCTATATCTATCATCAGCCTGAGGAATAAGAAATGCAAAATATGACCACCATTAAGGTCTGCGCCACTGTGCTCTGCTCAAGTGGTCTGCTCTCACACTGTAGAGTGAACTTCTTTTCTACTTTTAATTGGCCCACATTCACTCTGAAGAGAATGTTTCTTTTCCTACCTTTAATAAATGTAAACCCACTACTTTAAAAAAAAAAGGCCAAATCATTTCACTATGTACAATATAGTCTAGAATAAATGATAAATATTTGATAAAAATAAAAATTTTAGCACAGTTTCCAACGCAGTTTTCCCCTTTTAGTTCTCCAACATGTATCGATAGGCTTCCCTGATTCTCTGTAATTACCATTACCATGCAGTTCTACATGGATTGCAGAGACAAAATTCTTGGGCACAATGAAACTCAACTTGGATTCCCCTGCATGGTAACCATTCTTTCCTATACTTGTTCTTTTACTTTTCCTTTATCTTCCCCACTCCCTGCTTCATCCAGAAAGCTTCAGTGGAATACAGTTCACTGTTCACTTCCTCCTTATCAGGTATCTTAGGTGCTAGAGAATCTTAGACAATAAAAATTTTTATGCAGGGGCCAGGGATTTTGCTCAGCAGCCCTGCACCTGTCTGGCAAGCACAAAATCCTAATGATTGATCCCTGCTACCCCCCGAAAAAATTATTATACGAGAAAATCTCACTACATGGGAAGCTTGACCACCATTACATGAAGGAGCAAGGAGAACCTGCCTAGAAGCCCTCAATATAGCTACGCCACCACCTCAATATTAGAATGCCTTGAAATTTCTTCTTCCAGATTCATTAGTCCACTACCCTTAATTTCAGTATCAGGCAAAGTCTCTGGGCATGAGCAAAATGCAGACAAACTTTCTGCCAACCCATCACACACATTGCCTGGAGTCCAACAGCCAATGCAGTCCTTTTTCCCAGCAGAAATCTGAGCCTGGTCTTTACTAGCTTTCTGGTCTTCAGAATCTCCCACACAGTAAAGCCTAAGGCGTTCCAGCTGTATATTTTCAGCCACTGGAAAGCTCTGAATCTTTCCAAACTTTTCTCCTTACTATAAACCAGTTCCAAAGGCTCCTGAGCTATACGGCCAGGTAATGTCACAGTAATGAGCTCACAGTTCAAATAGACTTTTCTCCTTAGTCCATTCTAAATCAGTCACTGCTTTCTCTTTTGCTCTAAAGCATTCAATTTATTGTCCCTAATGGGCTTTCCTTGACTCGTCTCCTTTATTCATACTCCGTATCAATCTACAGTTTCAATCTTTAAAAAGGTCCAAATTATAACCTTCCATAACTTTCACTGCTAAACTTCTAATGAAAGTCACCATCATCTCTCAACTGGGTTACTATAATAGCCTATCTGGCCACCCTGTACCCTTGTCTTCAATTAGTCTATTTGCCAACAGACTCTTTTAATTTAAATAGGAACACGTGAATCCGCTACTCAACATCTTGCAAAGCTTTCCTCATTTTACTCAGAGTAGAAGTCTAAATTCTCACATTGGGCTATAAATGTCGTACCACAATCTGTAAGGACTCTTTAGCCCAAATTATTTCTCTGACCACTTCCCCCTCGCTTATACACCATTCCAGTGAACAACTCTCTGTGCTCCAGATTCGGGACCTTTGCATTTGTCTTCTACTGCTTCTTCTCTTAACTCTTTCACAGGACTGGCCTCTTTCTGATCCTTCCTCTAATGTTACTTTGTCAGCAAAGCCCTTCCCAGTTAATCTATCCCAAATTTGGGCACCCTATCATTCACCTATACTTTTTTTTTCACTGTTTATTATCAGTCTCTCCCCAGAAGAGTACAAACTTCACATAAAGCAAAAATTGTTTGTTGTTGCTGTTATTTGTTTTAAGGAAGGGGACTGCTATGTTGCCCAGGTTTGTATAGACCTCCTGCACTCAAGTAATCCTCTCACTTCAACCTCAGCTTCCCAAGACAGGGATTATACACACATGCCATTGTACCTGGCTACTGTTAGTTTGGGTCACCACAGAATCAACAACCCCAAGCAAAATATCTGTCACATGATATATACTCAGTACACACAGAATGAATGATTAAATGTTTACCTATTCAAATAGTAAACAGATATAAACTAAAGGCAGACCCAATGCCTTTTCCCTTTGTACCTCTCAAGTTCAGAGCATAGTACTTGAAACACAATGTATGCTCAACACATGTTGAATTAACCAAAAATTTACCAGTATCCTGTCATAGGAAAACAGAATACATATACAGAAAGATATTTTTCACATGGCTGATA